CACGACCTCGAAATTCTAACTTACTAGACCTATTAAGTAAGGTAGTCTTTTACAAATACAGTTAACGAAAATATGTCATGCTTGAGCCGAAACTCCTCCATAATTAACCCTCATCCAAATCAAACTAAACTACTTAGTAAAACAAAATTAAATTGATCAAATTCAAAAAGAATGACTGAACCAAAATAATCAAACAAACCGAAAAAAGACACTTGTTAGACCAACGAAATCCAACACGAACTTCTCTATTCATCGTATGTTCATATACACTTGTTGACTTACACAAAAAAATCATGCCGACTCCATGATTATTCAATGTAACTTCGTAGCTTCCCCTTCTATTCTCTTAGGGTTCGTTTGAGAAGTTCCTACAAAAAAAAAACCCCTTAATAACTCCTACATTTCTTCATATGAGAATTGAATTGCTGAATATATTTTCCATCTATAAATACATGACAAAAAATCATGTCCCAGACCAAATTACAATTACACGCCACAAACACATGACAAATACGAGCATCTTGGAACACCAAACTTTTTATTTTGCTCCATTGTAATTCCCATTTCCCATTGGTTGCTCACCCACGTACGTAATTTTTCTCTTGGGTAAATGGCTCATTTGGTCACTGAGATTATTAAATTGTGTCATTTTTAGTCACTAGAAAAAATTAATATCAATTTTGGTCACTCGAATTACCGAAACTGGTCAAATTTAGTCACTCTCCCGTCAGTTTCCGTCCAACTCCATTAATGTAGTTGGACGGAAACTTTTGGGAGAATGACTAAATGTGACATGTTTATGTAATACGAGTGACTAAATGTGACATTTTTCAATAATTCGAGTGACCGGAGTTGGACAGAGGCTACAGAAGAGTGACCAAATGTGACCTGTATCAGTAATTCGAGTGACCAAAATTGATATTAAATTTTTCTAGTGACTAAATATGACACGATTTAGTAATCTCAGTGACCAAATGTGTCATTTACCCCTTTTTCTCTTCTACCATTTACCAGAATCCCCAAACCACTGAAACACCAACGCTTGGAGACAAATTACACAGCACCAAAGTTTCGTCGTGGAGCGATTGGACGTACGTTACGTAGCAGCGAGAGATGGGGACTTTGCCCTTTTGCCTGTCTGCCTGCCTGCGCAGTTCCAAATACGCGTTTTGATTTCACTATCACAGGAGCATCAATTCAAACGTTGCTTTCCATGATTACTTACCATCATTCTTCACTTTCGTCACCGATTCTCCTGCTGCCGGCCCAGCGCCGGCCGGCCCAAAACGTATCTTTTGTCGGTTGCCCTCGGGGCCCGATACCATAATGGGCTCAGCCCCTGGAATGCCATTTGCAAAGAGCCCCCAGCTGCGTACAAACACAATTCTGAAATTACGTTAATGGCTTTAAGTTTAGATGGCTGATAGCAACGATGAACAGTCGGCGACGGACGCAAGGTTGGGGTATTGGATAGAAAGAATAACTTGCTTGATCCATTTGGGTGATTCTAACTAGAGGGTTTTGATTAATAGCTGTACTGCTAGGTTGGTCTTTCGTTAATTAACCTCCAGGCATTGACATCTCCAATAATATATAGTACACTTTTGTGTACTTTTTTTCGTTTTGAATTTCATGCATTCTCCTTAATTTTAGGTAAGGGTATGATGGTAATTGCAATTTAATAAATATTGGGGAAAAAATTAATATAAAAAATATCTTTAAAAAGGACGTGCAATTTGTGTTTTTCCCACCTCCCTATTTAGTCGGTTGAAACCCAACTTCTCCTTTTTTTTTCGTTTGATAATTTTGTTATTATAATAATGATTTCTTTTTTTTTTTTCAATCATCCTATCATATTATGACACATGTTGTTCTCCTTTAAATTTTTCTTAATTATTATCATGTTTATCGGTCATTTTCTTTATTTCAAACATCAATTTGATTTTATGTGATTTATGTAATGGTATTCATTTTAATAATATAATATTTATCCAAATGATGATGGGGTCATCATCGTGTCTTGCATTACTATACTACGATATTTTCATTACTATACTATGAAAATACCATTCAACATAGTATCAATGTTGAATGGTCATGATATACCTTTGTATCATGGTGATATATTTACATATCATCAAAGCACATGGTATTTTCAAGTATGTGAAGAAATTATTGACATTGTAATAATTTTTATTTTAATGTATACAAAAGTTGATATCATTTTTAAGAGTTGATTTTAGTTGATACCACATAATGGAATTAATCTATTAGGTTAGTGTTGGTAAACTTTGAAACAAAGAAATGAATAAGTTTGCTTTAGCTTGATATTAAAGTACAAAAACATGTGCTTAATAGTTATTAAAAAAAAATTTGGATTGTTTTTTTCAAAAAAAAAAATCTTTTGGTTTGACTTATTGTTTAAGATGTAAGTGCATGGTTGAAAAGTTTTATTAATTATTCAAAATCTAAATACAAATTCAAGATATTTAGCCATTTTTATATCTTAGGAAATTACAAAGTATAATTCATTTACTAAGTTGAATCTAAGGACAATTATTGCTCCATCTCACATATTTTAGCCTTCTGATGTCAGAGTGTAAACTTTAGTATTAAGAGTTTGAGAATATATAATTTAGCATTAAGAGTGCAAACTATATAATTTCTTATTGACATGAGAATATATGGTTAATGATACAGGGTGAAAGAAAATATTTATGGGCTACTAGAGACATATTTCCTTAGGTTATGGGGATCAAAATTTGATGAAAATTACACAAATAATTTATGAAATGTTTATCATAATTATTTTTTTATACGTTTTCTTATGTTATTTGGAGTTTGAAAGAATTGGGGTTTGGAGTTTAATGTATTATATGTAGACACTCAGTGGATAATGGCTACACAGTCTTTTTATTTTTATTTTGGAAAGATATGACTACATAGTTTAAAGTTAATGTATTTTTTCCTGTAAATTGATGTCTGTTTTTTTTTAATTTATTTATGATGGTAATGAATGGTTGAAAAATTTCATTAGATCTATTTAGTTTTATGGTCAAACATTAACCCTCTGTTTCCGAATGAAGGGAGGAAAAGGAAGGGAGGTGAAGGAAAATGGGGAGGGGAGGGCAGGGGAGGGGAGATTTGGAAGTGAAGGAAATTGGGAGGAAAATGTTGTTTTATGAAGGAAAGTGGAAAGAAAAGTATGTATTGGGAATTGTGATAGATATGTTATTTAATTGGTTATATAATAGTAAAATAATTAAAATGTGTATGGATAGTGGAACAAATGTATTCTTTCTTACTAACTTGGTTCATTATTAAATGTTTTTATTGATTTAAAAATCCCGTTCATTTTAACTTGATTTAAAAAAAAATCATAAAAATTGGATTACCTCTCACGTACAAGATGACATCCATTTCTTGCTAATAAGTTTATGTTTCGTGTAAAACAACGTTACACATAATATAGATACTTGCCTAAATTATGTTGAACAACAAAAAAGTTATTTAAAAATATAAAATAAATTGGCCCAAAAAATTAAAGAATACGGGAGATATACCTGTGAAGTGGAATAATTATGAAAACATGCATCATTATCTAACCCACCGCCATCTCCTTTTCAACTTTTAATTTTTAATTTTTACGCTTTCTTTTCTTTTAGTTTTAATATTACAAAATAAATAGTCCCTTTCTAACGAAGAAAACGAAGAAGAAGAAAGATAGAAGAAAGAGGAGAGAGGAAGAGGTAAAAGAAATGGAGGAGAGAGCATTTTCTCTCCGATTTGGGAGGTCAGATTGAACAGTGTTCTTTTTCCCACTTTTCCCTTCCCTCAATACTGTGCATGGCTTCGGGAACAAGGGAAAGTTCCTAGGAAACTCAACTTTCCTCCCTATTCTTTCCTTTCCCTCCTTTTCCTCCCTACAAAAACAGAGGGTAACTTAATTTCATGAATTAAGGTAATTTCGAAGCTGGATAAAAAAGTGTTCAACTATATGTAGTTATTTGGTTATGCCTCTCAAACTGAAAGTTACGGCCAACTGGCCGGGTCAACAACTAGTATGTAGTGTGGTACAATCAAGGGGAGAAGGAGAGCAACCAATTCGTTGAGACGTTCAAGGTCAAATGTCGGAGATAGAACTGTGAATAGAGTATAGAGTCGATCATAATCCTACGTGATTTTGAAGTTCGCTTGGGAGTCCGGGTTCAAAAATGGTAGCGCTCCAACTGATGATGATTAAGCGAGTCGATGGGGTAGCTACATCTATATGTCATCACTACTCGCAAGATGGTTCAATTTGACTGGAATGAGTGTTTTGTCTCTCCGATACATTTTTTTTTTTTATGATGGTAACTTCATAACAACATATCTTGTGCTCTTAAATAAGTGGATTGGATTAGGCTAAGTTCGCATTTTATTAAGCATGCTAGACTGCAATTTAGCCTATTGGTTGATAGATGGTGCATTTGGGAACTCCGAACCCAAGTTGGGTAGTGATAACATTCAATGAAGAGCCCTCTTAATTACATCATGTTTCTAACAACAAAAAACATCGATATTAAACATGAAACTAAGCATTACTTCGAGGGGGTTAGACATTTTGTTCATTAAGATAATCTAATAATGAGTATTTCAAAAAGTTGGTACGTCATGTGGTAGCCATACATTATTAGTAATAATGTTGAAAATATACATAATTTCTAAGATCGACAAGCTTGCATTGTTCCTTTAGTCATTATGGATTATTAAGTCAATTAGGTTAAAGGGTTGGGTTTGGATTTGTGTTTTTTGTATTAGTTTTTTTATATATTCAGATTAGGGTTTAACTATTTAAGACATTTTGATACTTTAACTACTTAAGTGATACATGTTAGTATTTGTGAGAATTTGTTACATGTGCAAACTTAAGTGACCATTCTAGTAAATTACCATACTCAAGTGCGGCGACCAAACGACGTCACTTTCTCTCTATCGATCAAAACCTTTCTTCCTTCTCCAGCACTCCTAGCTTTCCCAAATATCTCCGGTCTCTACCGTCGCTACTCCGGCGAAGGCGGCTGCCCCGGATTTCTGTGTTTCCCCGCGAACAGTTCGCTCTTGCGAAATCCGATCTCTTAACAAGGTAAACGCTGCCTTCCCTTCCTCCGAAAGCCTCTCTTTTCTCACTCTATCCCCTGATGTTCCCGTCTTCTTTCCTCTATCACTGCTATTCTCTTGTGCCTTTTGTCGTACGATCATGGCGTTCCTAGGGAATTCCGACTCCTCGATCCCATCAAAGGCAACCTTGTGAATGAATTGAGCTGTTTGTTTCTCTGATTGCTTAGAATTCCTGAGATCTTAGGTCGAAATTGGTTTGGGGAAAAGTTTGCCTATGAATGCAGAGAATGATGGTTTGATTAGTGACCTTAGTTCCAAATCGAGCTACTTAGGGTTTGTAGCTCTTCCATTACAATAGATCTATAGGTTATGATCTGGTCTTAAATTTAATTCTCACTTGTTAATGTTTCTGATAATTGCAGCACTTGGGTGGAAAAGATGCAAGATCCAAGATTGCCACTTTCTGGTGAAATTTCCAACGGTAAACCCCGTAAGAAGAAAGCCCCATCAGCTTCCAGAGCTTCAGTGATTCAGCTGAAAGGGAATGATGTACGAGAGATTCAACATGGGCAGGCTGCGGGAGTTCCTTTGCCTCTAAAAACTTCTCAGAAGTTGTCTAGCAAGAATTTGGCAACGAATGAGTACACTCCTACTACCATGTTTCAGCAGACGGAGAGATCGAACTCCGATTCCTTGCCGGACTCTTCTGGTTCGGGGAATGATTACAGGGCATTGAGGAGGAAGTACTTGCTGTTGGAAGAGGAAAGCTTTGCATTGGGAACCGAGTTGACTGAGGTTGAAGGCGAGGTTAACACTCTCGAGTACGAGAAGCTGGCGTTGTTGGATCAGCTCATTGTGCTGGAAGGTCTTGTTGACCCTTCGGAAGTGCAAGTCCCCTGAACTCCTTTTGTTACTGTACTGTGATTGTTGCACTTGGTATACTGTGTTGTTAATAGATTGCTCGTAGGCTTTTTATTGGAGCACGAAATGGTGGAAAATGGAGTAGTTTGGTTTCTGGTTTTACAAGCTGTACTAGAAAGGTTGGCACTTGGCACATATACATTGAGAACTAAGATTTTTCATGTTGAAAGATTGAAAGGAGTGATCAAAAGAACAAGTAATGTATATTGCTGGCTTCTAGTGGATTCATTGTTGCTATGCTCATCGAGTGTTTTTATTTCTGGCTTTCATGGTTTGGATGGATTCAGTACTACACTTACTGTACTTAAAGAACTAGTGCTATTTATGGGTCTCGAGTAGTAATTACTTTGTTTCACTGCTATCTGACAGTTTTGTTGTCAGTAACATCAGGGGAGTTCAAATCTAAGCCCTGTGGACTATGAAGCTGCAAGCAATGTGAAGTTTGGTCCTTGCCAGACTTAGATTGGTTACTATGTATTACATGGACTTATGGCTTTACTGGGATAATCTGTGGAAATAAGTTTTAATCTTTGGTCTGATATACTGTGTTCTGTATATTCTTATAATCTTATTATCATATTCTTTTCTACTGCTGTTTGGGATTTCTACAGATGAATGAAGATAAGATGAAAAGGAACAGTCACCAGATGTGGAGTTTACAGATGTCAGATGCTCCTCGAGGTATGTAGTTATCAATTATTGACTGGAACTCTTGGTCTATGATCAAATCAGAAAGTCCATATATATCATATTACTATGCTTAGTATAGAAGGTATTTGAGCTTTAAAGATTGAGCATTTCCATGGCTTATGCCCAATTATCCTTTCTTAGGAGTATATTACACCTTGTGGGCAGTCTAAGCAGAACACGTGGCTCAACAGATTCCCTCATCTCCCAAGGAAGAACACGTAGTAGAACATATACAGTAAAGTATTACCTTGACAATTTTGTCAGTCGGTCATATTAGGAAGTTGTTGCCCAGCCACTCATAATAAATATATACTTCTTTGACGGTTTGACCAACGAGAAAAGAAATAAATAGAAATGGAAAAGCCAGTAACAACGTGCAGGGAAAGAAGCCATTCAGAATCACACTACCAACAATATCATATGCATATCTCAGGACAGAGAAATAGAGAAATGACAAGTGAATGAATAGAGACAAAGGCAGTATGGGAAGGTAGTTATATCCTCATTGAAAGCCTCTGCATATCTAGAAGATCCTTCTCCCTTCTTCTGTAATCTGCATAGACACACAGGTCAAGGGAAAGAAAGATAGAAAGCTAAACAAAGAAGGAGAGATATCATGGTAGAGAAAGAGGATCAGGTGATGATTTCTACTGTAACTCCAGTTCTGCCCAGATTGGATCGCCTTGATCGACTGGTAACCACCCTGATAATTTATCTGTTGATGCCATCGTGGAAAAGAAAGAAAGATGGTTAATTTTGGTGAGTCTGTCTGTGCGTGTTTATTTTTACTTGCAGCTGCAGTTTCTGGAAGATAAGTACTTGGTGCTGGAAAAGCCCAAAACTGAAGCAGTTGCTGTGAAGGAGATGGAAGATCATCAGTGCATGAGTTTATCAGCCGCCCTCGAGCTAGTTAAACAGAAAGGCAGCCTGGTGGAGAGGCTCGAATTCCTCGAAAACCGCATCTTGCAGGTATAAAGAACTCCTCTTGATTCTCAATCAATCTATGATCATTGTGTATATACATTATCAAAAGGGTGATTGATCATGGTATGAGAAGCTTTGATATGAACTTTGTTGAATTTGGTTCATTTTCATTGGGTGTGAAATTATTCAGCTGAGCCTGGAGATGGGAGTAGGCAACAACAGTACATCCAGGTCAAGCTCTTTCATGGTCACAGAAGCTGAATCTGGAGATGATGATCATAAGCATCTGATTGTGAAGCAGGAACCAAAAATGGCGCCAAATCTCTCCACAACTCAGGTAAATCAACCAACTGGAGTTTCTGGGAATTATGATTGAAGGGTATGTCAGTTTTCTGGAATATGATTTTTTTGTGGGGGTATCGTCGTCATTTTTCATGCAGAAAGGGACCAGACGGAGGAGAGTGGTCACTACTGGCAAGAAATGGGCAGCAGGATGGAGGTGTTTACCTATGGGCTGCAATGGTTAATTGTTGACTTGAATTTTTAAGCTTTCAATAAGATGAGATAAACTTGATTGTGAGGAGGGCTTTTATCATTTCATCTCATCATCAGATAACTGGGCAAACCTTGGCCACTGTTGCTTGGAGAAATTCTGCAGATAGTAAATGAAAAATGAATTAAAGAAGGCATTGTAATTTTATCTTTTATTACCAGGAAACATCCTCGCCCACACATTACATTTTGTGATGACAACCCAGGAATCCGTAATTTTATGGATCAAATATAAATCTTCAAGATGGGACTCTATTTTGTCTGTTTATTACAAATATAAACAATTTGTAATAGTTTAATAAGGTGGAATGATTTTAATCATATATAAGAGATTATCATGGGAAAATAAGGTGCAACAAAAATTAAAATTTAGGTATTAATTGTAAAATTCATTAAATTATAAGTACCAACCTTCAATTTTAATATGAGTTTGTATATAATCCGATCTTGGACTAAAATTCAACCCAACCAGAACTAAATGAGCATAAATCAAATTCTAGTTATTTATTTTATATTTAAATTTTATATAACAAATATCCATGAGTTTTGAGAAAATTTTAAGTCATCCATCATTTGCAACCGAAAATGCACCATAACAAGGTTTTCTATTGAAGGCCCAATAAGAGGTGGGTCATGCTCAAAAAGTCCAAACGAACTTTTCGTTGAGAAAATGGATATACTCAGCTCGTCACGATATCAACATGAGACCAAGAATCCTAATTCTTAATAGACTCAAGCGTGTTTATGACTTTGTTCGGCCCAAATGTTCTTTGTTCGAGTTCCCAATTTCAGTGTTAGGAATTTTAAGGATGTTTTATTGGGCTTGGATATAAATTAGAATTGAACTGGTGCTCATAATAAGGAAACGTAAATATGTAATATAATATACTTATTTATTGATTGCAGCTCACTCGAACTTGGCAAAATTAATTTTTAGAAAAAAAAAAACCCCACTCTTTTCTGTCTTAGAATCCACGGCTTAAATTGTCCGAAATTATGTGCCTTGTTTGAATCAAAGAACTTGTTGTGTGATTAGAGATGATAATTTCGGATCCAATTTACTAATTCAACTCATCCAGTAAAAAAAAAAAACAATTAAAACAATCCATTTAAACCAAATTCAAATGAATCGATAAAAAATGAACCTATATATTTTATATTTTTTAAATTGTTTAACGAAAAAATATTATTTGAAATTACATATCGGTACATGACATTTTTATCATGAAATTTTAGTGCTAAAAATTTTCATCATAGTAAATGATTTAGATGTTAATTGGTTCCATGATTTCAGAATTCATTTAATCCAATTCATGAGTCAATCATCCATTTGTCACCTCTAAATGCAAAGACGATGGGTGAAACGGGTATAAAATCGTTGATCTAGCCCCTGATCTTCGACGATTAAGCCAAGCCAATAACAACATAAGACATAGTGTAAGTCAAAATGTAAAGAGATAAAAGAGGGAGAATACCAACTATGATGAGGAAGAAAACGAGGAAGAGCACAAGATTGCTTCACCAAAAATACCATAAACCTAATTTTCCTTCTCACATTTGTTCACAATCATCCATCTTCACCATTCAAGTTGCAAAATGAATAACCAATCCCCACAACCCATGTATATTATAAAATAAACTACAAAAAAAAATTATTAATTGAACTCAACTCGTTAACATTGCAATGACCAAGATTTGAAAGTCTGTCAATATTTTCAACGGAAAAAGAAGAGCATAAGATTGCGATAGATCTATACCATCATTACTGTTCCATGAGAACGATCAATATTCATGATAATTAAACAAATAGATGACAATTAGTAGCCAAAATTGTATTTTATGAAATTCAGTGGAAAGTTTTGCGGCAAGTAGATATGTCGGAGATATCCTATGATGACGACGATGATTAACCAGTTTGAAATTTTTAGCAAATACAAATAATCATGGAAATATTTTGTCTTTTTATATTATTTTGAAAACAATTGGGACGCAGGTTGATCAAAATTATGCCCCTAGGAGACTCTAGGACTAATGATACGAAAGACCAACAAGAACAAGCAAATAAATTAGTTCAATTGGCTAATGGACAATCGATGGATGCATCAAGGAACACTACATAGCCACTCTTGATCATATCGTTCAACCTCCATGCGATGTTCTTAGTCGTAGCAGTTTTGAGTATTTGGACGACTATTGAGAAGATGTCTGAAAACGCGCCGTTGGCCTCTTGATGCTCACGTATGATCAATTTGTGCTAAAATGTTCAGTGCATGACAAACAATCAATAGATTCACGGGCTTGGCGGCCCACAAGACAAAGGAAGATGTAACAACTTATACAAGGAACTTTTCAAGAACTTCAAGGAGTAGCGAGCGACGTGAACAAACGAGACATCTAGTTAAAGAGCATAACATGACCAACCTGTTGGCAAAACCCTACACATCACATTTCTTTTGTAGAAAACACATATATTTTCGTCATCATAATTTCTTTTAAACAATTATATGTGACTGGCTTATTGATCATCTTTCTTCGACCTGACATTTCTCATCTTGTATTCAGTCTCGCAATGTATTATGTTTGGGCAACACACTGAGAGAGATCCAATACACAACCAGTCTCATAACTTTTTTTTGTTGACTTCATACTTGTTTTGAGTAAGGATTGCGAAATTGTACGGAAAATTATATCGAGAAAGCTAGCAATGAGGTATTTTGTACTAAAATCGTGGTTCATAATTAGTAAAATACGATACGGGTAAGTTACATATAAAATATGTACGAGTATTTCATTTCATATCTAACCAAATGGTACGTTTAATAGTACATCAATAGTTATAAATAGATGAAATTCATTATTTTAAAATTAAACTAAAATATAAATAATATTTAAGTTGGCAATTTAATTTATTACATACGGATATTAAACTCGTTATAAGAGTTTTATATCTGTTTAGTACGAGTAACATCAAATGAACAGGAAAAATGAAATGACTTGACAATAATACAGATACAAAAGTTTTAAACGGATGAAATACGTATGACCATACATATGTGCATTAAATGGAGTATTTACTAACTATGTCGTGATTCAACCGTTACATACAACTAAAAAACACCTATTAGTAAAGTATTCTTATGATCAAACCGTCAGTACAACTTAGTTGGTACAGTATGGTTTCACAAACACCAATTTTGAGTTATATGTAAACTTTTGCAATGTTGATGACTAACTTAAAATAGTTTCTAAGAAAAGAATCTCTTATGAGAGTCCCTACTAACCGCCCCATAAATCTATGATCTAAGCTATGCAACTCCCACTTACTTAATCTTCACTTTATTTATTTAATTTGTTGTTTCCTTTTCAATTGAAGCAACCCCACACTTGCCAATTACTTAATTATAAATTCCCTTTCCACTTTCTACCCTTGTCACTCATAGTACTTTTTTTTTGTTTTGTTCTCCCATCTTAGGATTCTAGACGTCATTAGTGTACTTAAACTTATCTACCAAAAGTTTAGTTTAGTGGAAGGATTAAGGTTGAAGAATGGCCAATTAGAGGCTGCATAATGATATTCGATCATCATTGTTAGCTAGCTAGCCCACAGAGATTTTAATTTTCATTATCATCATTTCGTTTTTTGGGTTACTAACTAATTGGTGGTTTGGTTTAAATATATAATTGTCTCCTTTTGCTTTTGATGGATACTTGATTGGCCTATATATGTATGACTGAGTTTAACCATGGGTTGGATAATTGATCAAAGACTAACCCTTTTCACGATTTGAGAGTTACCAAAATTTGTTCAATATGATGATATAATTCCACCATGTTCACGATAATGCCTATCTAATTAGTTGTACTAATTAAGTCGAGGAAAGTTATGAAGCTTATACCGTCAAAGAAGTGATTTCTTGACTTCTTTTTCGTCAATAAGTACTATAGAAATACACAAAAACTGCATCTAATTAAAGGGAAGGGATAGTAATTTAACGAGACTCACACACACCACAACTAAATCGTTCGATTATCAGTGGTTTTGTTGGGTTACAAGTCCACTAATCGCGGTCTTGGATGAATTATATACACCTCTTAATAGCTTTCACATATCTTTGTGATACCAACATGAACACTTGGATTAGGGATTTAGGGTGGCTGAGTGGAAACAGAATTGTACATGGAAATGGGAGACAAAAATGGACAACAAAATGTACATGAAAAGTCAATAATAACTCTCCAGCAGCAAACTATTTTGGCCACTAACAAATATAGTTCGATATAGATGGATCATAAATAGGTAGAAGTAGGACTTGGAATTACAAATAATGGTCCTAGCTAGCTAGCTTGTTCCATCATTGACTTGTGTATGAACTGAAATGACTTATCAGTCTTAACAGAAATATTGTGTGAAAGCATCTCTTTAATTTCTCCTCCTGTATATTAGGGTGAAAATTAAACTTCTTTTGTTCTTCATATGATCATTTAATGAGAACTGATAGGATACAAAATTCAGAACTACTGCAAAATTCCATGTCTTATCACTCTTTGATGCGAATCATAAGGTCACGATACGATCATATCAGGAGTGATACGACACGAGGTTTGTAGATTTTATGGCCCTGAGTTTTGGACTGTAACCCATGCCTTATTTAATCAGGGACGAACTACTAGTCCAGTTGTATAAGTGGCAGAACAATAATTATTTTAAGGCGTGGTCAGTTCGGATCACATAGAACTTCTAGCTTATAATGTAGATACTATTTATTGATAATTTTTTTTATATAATTTTCTTGAATAGAAGATTCAGAAAAAGATGGGATAAATTACAAAGAAATATAAATTATGTTGAATAATGCTAAATCGTTTAATTTGCAAGGATTGCAAAACCGTACCGAAGTTTGTATCGGAAAATTCAGTGGTAATCAAGACATTTTGTGCTGAAATCGTGATTGGGCCGGGGTTCAACCGTTGCATGCATACCGCTAAAACAGCCTACCGATTTAGATTCCGATAGAAGTTTTTTTTTTTCCAGTCGGGCTGCCGATACGGTATGGTTTTAAAAACACTGTTAATTTGTTGATAATCCAATATGCTTATGTAGAAGTCACTTCAAAGAAGGTAAGGTGGAAGTGGCAACCGTCCTCCCACAGTTGAGGCAACACCAATAACCGCCCTTGACACTGACAACAACAAACACCATTAACGTA